TTCCAATAAACTACAGACATTCATCAACAACTGCCTACACTAGCTCGTTACTGAAGATCAGATGGCCAGAAAGAATAAGCAACAAGCAACTCTGGCTGGCTGTCAACGAACCAACCAAGAACCTCTCATCCAACAAATATGCACTGGAAGGAAGTGGAGATGGAGATGGATTGGACATACACTGAGAATGCCGACTGGAGATATCACGCATCACGACGAGTTGGGCATTTGAGGCGAGGGTGACATGGAGGAGACTGTGCGAGGAGGAAATGGGAGCTTGTTGGCAGTGGTGGAGTGAGGTTGAAAGGATTTTAGAGAAGAGAGTGGGATGGAGACGTGCTACTGAAGCCGTATGTTCCACTATGAACTCAAGGGATAAATAATAATAATAATAGTATTTAATGAAAGGATACTTATCGAATAACCCAGGGAAATGTATTTCGAACAACTACGAAATCTTGGTGTACCTTGCAGGATCATTGCTGGACATTATCTTGTAACGGATTTTAGTAGGGATTGAAATACCAGAGAGAGACAATTTCTCATCATAAACACAATCTGTTTGTACGAACGGAAATTGTAGTCTACACCTCATTGTTTCCAAGTTTGAATTCAGCTCAGTTTGCGGAATTTCATTAAAATTTAGTTCCAGTACTCAGAATACTCAGAATATGATCAGGTTTACTGTTTTCATCATTGTTTAATCCACCTTCAACATCGTTCAAATCAAATTCCTGAAGGAATTTGTCGAACATCTGTCAGTTTTTTTGAAACTGAACGTGTTCACAACTGTTCATGGTATTCCTATTGGTGTACTCATGGGTTGTTATTAACTACAGCACTACAATAAGACAGTTTATCAGTACTGAAGTCTAGTACTGGAGTGACCTGAAGTTATGTGAAAAATTGGTCAGACGTTATTTAGTGTAGAAAGAGTAAGACATTTTGATGTTGTGCTTTCTCAGCTGGATGGTTTAATCGTTATCGAGAAACCTTCTTATATCTCTGACGTGCTTCTCTTTTGCGGTGGTAGCAATGTAAAGTATCTTAAGAACAATAAGAAAATTATGACTAATATTGGCAACACAGGGGTTAATAGTAACAATAATAAGGTTAATAATGACAGACGCATTACTGTAAAGACCTTTACGATATTATCACCATACATTGCAGACACGTCAGAAACGTTGCTTTGGCTTCTCAATAAGGATGGGATCAGAGTGGCATTCAAACCTACAAACTCAATTGAAAATAAGCTTTGTTAGTTAAAGGATCTTACTGATACAATTAGACGGAATAATTTAGTTTACCATATTCTTTCCAACGATTATGAGGTCAAATGCTTAGGCGAAAGTAGTCGACCAGTGTCAGTTACGTTGTCCGAGCACAGAAGCCTAGCTAGATGAAAGTCGGCAGATCCTAGTAGGATAAGGAATCTAGAAGAACTGCAGCCATAGTTATGGATGCAATTACATACAACCACACAAGAGAATGTGATAGGGTGGAAATCCCTAAAACTAAGTCGGTGGAATGGGAAGAGGGAATGATTACCAAATCTTTGTTTATCCAATCAACACCTGATACATGCGTCAAAGGGGATTGCTGGTCATTAGTACCGAATATATGGATATCCCGCTATCTATATCACAAGGTAGGTGAGAAAATTGGGATAATATAAGCTATCTCTCAAAGTTGTTGTGGAGTTATTTAGGTGATGATTTTGACGAATAAATTGTGTCCGAAACGTAACTGAGTAAGTAATAGCCTTCCATTTTGTGATGTATCTACTAAATCCACTAAAGTGTGTATTCAGTATTATTGACTTTGTTGTACTTGCAATTTCGTTCTTATCGACAACCTCATCAATAGATTCACATAACACTATTTACATCATTCAGACATATTCAGAATTGTAAGATAACGCAGAACGAATCGATATCGTAGTGATTTATGATTGTTCAGACATACAAGTAATATATGCACGTCTAATGTCTGAACACGTCGTGAAAAGTGTTTGAAGATGTCATGATACTTCCGAAATAGTGAGGAATATTTGTAGCTCAGGTAGATGGTCTTGAATGTATTGTGTTCTCTGAGCTACCTAGGTTGTTTAATTGTGGAGAAGCTTTCATCGTCTTTCTAGACGACATCATCATCAGTACTCACTTCAGGATGAAGTGAGTCAGCTGTCAATATCTCTTCGTAAGTGATTTAGTAGCTTGCTTAGATGAAGCTAACCCTGACCAACTGGATTGTGGTTGGTTGTTTCCTTTGATTGTTGTGTCATTGACCGACTGAGCAGATTTTCCTCTTGACTATTCCTCTTCCTGACCACTGACCTTACGTTGTTTATCATTGGTTGATTGATTGGGTCTATGTCTACACATCTACTGATTGCTGACAAGCTGACTGACCTGAATGCCGCCAAGCTTCTAGGAATTCTCTGATAATCCATGTGTTTCCTCTCTCCCTCCAACGTTTCTACATTGTCGAAATTGAATTCGTGTTCATAGTTATCGTCCACGTCCATTGAATTTACTGACGAAATTTCGTGTTTCATGTTCAATAGCCACTTGGTGTTCATGTAGACGAAGGTGAAGACGGCGTCCAATGTGGTGTTGACTACAGTTATTGCAGTTGATTTTGTATATGATATTCGGTTTTTTTTTGGTTGTTACATGCTTTGATCTGCATTATAGTGATTGCAGGGGGTTTGTTGGTTAATGGCAAACACCAACTCCTCGAAGTGGTCTCAGTAATCTTGTCGTGATCTTTGATATATCCCTAGTGTATGGTAGTGTGATGCCTTTGTTAATTCCTGTCGATGACTGTTGATGATGTACGTTATCAGCGTGTGTAATGCACATGTGTAACAACTGTGGACATAAATTCAATTTTGACAATGTAGAAATCTTGAATGGAAAGAGGAAACACAAAGATTATCATAGAATTCCTAGAAGATTGGCGGTATTCAGGTCAGTCAGTCAGTCAGCAATCGACAGATATATAGACATGATAGACACAATCTATCAACCGATGAGAAAAATGATAAAGGCAAGAAGGTGAGAGGTGAAGTAGAGGAATAGTCAACAGGAAAATCTGCTCAGTCGGTCAATGACACAACAGTCAAAGGAAACAACCAACCACAATCCAGTTGGTCAGGGTTAGCTTCATCTAAGCAAGCTACTAAATCACTGACGGAGAGATGCTGACAGCTCACATCATACTGAAGTTAGCGTTGATGGTTATGTTTTCTAGACAGACGATGACAGCTTCATGATATAATGCTCTTATCAGTTGTTGCTTTTGTGTTCCACTTTGAATAATATTAAAATAACACTGGTTAGCTTGAAAAGTCAAAAAATCTATGCTATTTTGACTACATCGGGCAACTATAAACGCTATCCCAGCAACTGATGAGACAACCAATTGCATTTCTCTGTTTCATAGAAAAATACTTTCCCAAGCAAAATACCGAAGCTTGATTAGTTTATTGAACAGTTGTTAGGGTGGCCTTTAAATTCAATCGACTATTTGCAGTTCTTCGTCAAACGTGTCCTCAGTATATATTTTCCTGATCCTCGAAGAAAGTGGATGAATAAGATTTCTATTCCTGCATAGGGGGACTGAACTCTGAAAATTAACAAATTGTCAGTTCCACGTAGGCTTTCTTTAGATCGATCTACAAAGTGAATTATCGTCTTTTCTTTGAAGTTAAACATCAAGAAAATGGAAGGTTGACTTTGATTGTGATTCTAGGGTGAATTCGGTAAATGAACAATTTTTTCATCAAGTTCTATGATCTCCCGTCTAAACGGTCCCCCTAAAATACACAAGAAAGGCATCCCACTCCGTCCAGCACTAGATATGAAAAACTCTCCATATCATTTGATTGCGAAATGGCTGGTGGAAGTGATGGAACCTATAAAGAAGAGGCTATTGAACTATAGTCTCCACGACACATTTGATTTTGTTGACTAAATAAAGAGTGTCGATTTGTCTGGCAAAAGAATGATTTCATTGAATGTTGTATCCCTCTTTACAAATGTCACCACTGACAGAAACCATCTGCTTCCTATGTGAATTCATTCAATGTCATGACATAGATATTGGTATCCCAATTCACTACCTAAATGCGCTCATCCTTCGATGTACCTTCAACGTACACTTCAGATTTAATAATGAGATCTACAGGTAGATAGATGGTGTGGCGATTGGTTCACCACTAGGACTCCTCGTAACTGACTGCTTCATAGCAAGCCTGGAAAACATCAAATTATCATCAACAATCAATGAACTCCATGTTTACAAAAGATATATGGATGATACGTTTATAGTTTGTGATGAAAATATGAATCTTGCAAACTCGCTTCATATATTCAAGAATGCCCACCCTTCAACCAAATTCACCGTGGAATCAGGATCAATGTCAACATTCCATTTTCTTGATATTCAACTTCAAAGAAAAGATGATAATTCACTTTGTAGATCAATCTACAGAAAGCCTACATGGAACTGAGAATCTGTTAATTTTCAGAGTTCAGTCCCCTTATGCAGGCAAAAAAATCAATCAAGTATATCAGTATAAGTTCATATAATTAGTGCTTTTTAACAGAGATTGAATGGACTATCTAATGTATTTGGATCACAATTACAACTCTTATTCTGTATGTGTCATTTTGAATAACTAACTCTAGTGGTTACCAAATGTAACTTTTGTTTCCTAATTCATTTACGAAAACGGTACTGTATACTATATACTATATATATACCATACTATACTATATATATATATATATACTATATATATACTATATACTATATACTATATACTATACTATATACTGTATACTATCATCTACAGATTTCATTCAACAGCCATTGGTTACTAATTTTCCAAAGGCATAGACAAGTAAGGCTTCACATGTTTACTAAATATATTTAACTCACTTATTAAATCATACTGAAAAACTATTTTCTATTTTCTATTCATTTTATAGCCATGTTCCGTGTTTATCTTCGAAAAATCCATTGCAGATAAACTTCATAAACCTCGAAGACGTGATATTGTAACAAGTGTACTGAAAAGAGATGTTCGCCTATTAACACAATTACATCATCCTAATCTATTGCATATTGTACACCCAATTGAAGAAACAAGGTATGTGAATATGTCTTGTTTGGAAAAAATTAGTTTCTGTGTAGTTTTTTTTTAACTTCTTGAAAGGTCTTACAGAGGTTAACGTAAACGTAGTAACTGTAGAATTATTGAATTTCAGTCACTAGATGTCTAACTTCAATTATAAGACTAAAAAGCCGAGACTGTGGTGGTGTATAGTTCCATATTACGCCCCTTTTTCACATAAGATTCAGCTATATTTACTCACTATGTAACGATTAAGGTTATGATTGCCGCCTACAGAATACACTATGCATAGAAAAGAGTTTTAGGAAGGTGGTTGCATCCTGATGTGATTATATATGAAACATTATCCAGTAAACAGTCATACTTGACCATTTCATTAAGTTGACAATATAAGATAGTGAGTGTATCGAAGCAGGTAGGTCACTGAGATGATTAGTCATGAGTAAACAGCCATAAGTCTTGATATCATAGCATATGGTATTTTGTTGTAGACTGGACTAAAGCAGTCAGCCACTAATGACATGTGACCTCCCCTTCGGATGCCTTGATATCCCCAGTAATCTCAGTTTGATGGTTATATTGGACAGAATTCAGAGCAGTCAGTTTGGCCTATTTAGCACTCGTCAGATAGATGTACTTTCATCCTAGTGAGTAATTTCCTTGGATTTCCCTACTAATCACTATTCATCATTAGAATCAAGCCTTAATTATCTGGAATATTTCAGCGTTTGTTTAAAAGCCTACTTGCCAGAAGTGGCTGGTCACTTTCATGCAATCAATGACGTTTGCCTTCCAAACGAAAACATTAGGTTATGCCGATTACTCAAGGAATGATTATAGTGGCTGAGCAATCTAATGTGGGAAACTCCAGTGTCTCAAGCGATGAACGTTGGGCTCCAGCAGAAGTAGGAATGGCATCATTCACTAGAAGACATGTTTGTCTAGCTAACGAGTCTCGACTAAGATGAAACACCAGTTATTATTCATATGTTCCTGTCTGATATAACTATAAGATTTTTTTTCATAGTTGAGAATTTGATAAGAAAATTTTAACCGAGCTTGATAAATAATCTTCAAACAAGATATAAAATTGTATCAAAGGAAGGTGGTGCTTATAGTCAGATGTGACTACTAATCTTAAGTGGAACTTCATCTGAACGGGGTCGACTATTTCGATGTCTCAGTCACTGTGAGGGATTTAGTAAACAAATTATCAACCTACTGAGTCTTATAGGGTGAATTTTCCAGTTGATTTAATTAGGCGAAATAATCGTATCTACCGAATCACTTGCAACTATTGTGATGACGCATAATCACTTAGAAGGGTATGACAGAGTCGCAGTCGTAAGAAATAACTGGGGTGCTAGGAAAGATTAACTGCCAAATCCGCGTTTATCTAGTCGACACTATATAAATATTATAGGAATGGTACGATATATGTTCCAAATATGCCGATCACAAAGAAGAAGAAGGGGTTAGGAGTAACTAAGCCATGTTAACAGAAGAGGCAGAGAAGATGGGACTTCAAGGGAATGTGGAGAAGATGGAGGTGATGAAGATACTCTACCAATCACATCAACAACAAGCACCAATCACCATCAATGGAAGAAACCTAAAGGAAGTAGTCTCTTTCACCTACACCTACCTAGGCAGCATCGTTTCAATTACAGGCATCAGTGGCACAGACAAGGATGTCAAAACCAGGATTGGAAAGACAGCAAAACACGCCTTCATTAATATGAAATAATCAGTGTGGCGATCTACTCCACTCAGCATGAAGCATGAACAACATCCAGATTTTCAACACCAATTCAGTCAAGTCACTGCTGCTATATGGTTCACGAAAAGCACTTCCAACAAACTACAGACATTCATCAACAGCTGCCTATGCTCGCTACTGAAGATCATATGGCCAGGATGATAAGTATAAGCAACAAGCAACTCTGGCTGGCAACGAACCAACCAATAAGCTATCGCTCAACAAATATGTTGTGGAAGGAAGTGGAGATTGATTAGGCATGGACTGAGAAGGTCGACTGGGGACATCACGTGCCAGGCCAGGTCAGGCCGTCGAGTGAAATCCAAAGGGGAAACGACGATTTAGGCGGCTGAGACGAGGTTGACATAGATGAGATGGTATGAGGAGTAAATGAGAGCTTGTGGGCAGTGGTGGAGCCAGGTTCAAAAGATTGGAGAGAACAGAGTGGAATGGAGGTGTGCTTCTGAAGCCATACGTTCCATTAGGGACCCAAGGGGAAAAATGATAAGAGTTGAAGTATGAATGATAACCAATGGATAAATTTGGTAGCTCAAGGTTCAAGCAGACCGCCAACGGAATACAATCGACAAATTAATATGAGTGTTCTTTACAATCCTCCAACCTAGATTGTTCTTATAGATGGTTAGTAGCTGGCATCGAAATCCAGGACGCACGTTTTTAATTTGATATACCTTCTACCTAGTCAGTGATGGTGTCGCCATTGACACTACAACACATTATCCATTGCTTCATACGAGTCGTGAATTCCACTGCTAGCTTGTATCCACTCTCAATATTGAATTTAAGCCATTGGGTATATCAAGGCATCTACACATGCAGCTGTTATTTCGATCGAAACCAATAAACAACGGAAAAAAAACAACTAATATTTTTGCAGGGATCGAAGAAATAATGATAATAATACTAATGATTAATGATAAAGGTACTTTTGATAACGCTTGAAGTATGAATGATAACCAAATGGATTATGTAATATATGGAATGGTTCATAGAAGGTTTATAACTCAGAGGGGAGCGTTAAATTGATGAAAACTGTAGAACAGTAAACTTTTATGTAATAAGACTAGAAAGGTTGGTAAAATGCAACCAATATTATTTTTTACGTGTTTTTGAGACGATTCAGTGAAATAACACTGGAAACTATTCAAGCAAGAGTAAAATTCGGAATAAATCATGTGGAATAAAATTGTGTTCCACCTTCTCTTCATATATATTATTAACAACTGCCTAGGCGAGTCATTAGTGTCTGCCAGTATATTTGTTGAATGTCTAATACATGGTTACTGATGACCGGAGAAGGATACGAATAGATGTACAAAGCTTTTGAAATGACCCAATCTTTGTAAGAAAGAAAACCGTTTTGTAAGACGTTTGCGTTTTTCAATGATACTTTATAACTTGTATAAAAGGTATGAGCCTTGATGGGAGAGCTTTTTTCAAGTTTTCCAATATCATAGGAATGTTTTCATGGTTTCTGGCAACTCTGACTGTGTTCAGCTAGACGTGTTAACAATTAATGTGATGTCTCTCCAATGTATGTGGCATCGCATTCACTATAGTTGATCGAAATTTTATTTCCTGTGATGTAGATGTTGGATAAGGAACTTATCCAAACTTTATGGCTTAGTTTTTTCATGTCTTTTTCTGATACAAAATATATTGTTTGTTTTATTATTTGTTCTAATATACTACTGTGGGATTATATAAGTAAAAATACATCTTATACGAGAGGTAAATCAGTTGTTCACTCATCCTGATTATCGATTAATGTCTTTTGATAGGAAGAGAAATCCATATGTAGTGATTCAACTGAGGAAAATAAGGCTTATTAACTCACATAATCTTTTGGTTTTTAGCCTTTAAGAACCGTGCGATAGGAGTAAGTCACTTGTGACTATCGTTTATAAGGAAGTGTGACTTAGCAATACGTTTCTCATGGCAGTTAACCATCTACACAAACGTTATTGTCTTTTTTTAATTGGAATGATACTTGATGTCAACTTTCGTCTGGTCTTTCTATTCTTAGTATTTTTATTTTCAGCCTTGGTCAAGCCATTATCTTCTCCAATGATACCTATGGATATTTTGTGCACATATGTATAAATAAGTGTCTTTGAAGACGCCACATACGAAGTAATTCACGATGGGGAGCTCAGTGATGCCTTCGAAGTAAAGTGAAGACAGGATTAAGACATGGTTGCCTACTATCATTGATGATCTTCCTGATCGTGGTCGACTGGATCATGCAACACACAACTGTGAGGAGCGAGGAGATGGGCATACGCTGGACCGATGACTTGTGTCTGTCACACAAACTCGAAGATCTGCAGGCGAAAACTGACAAGTTGACAGAAGAGGCGACGCAGCGAAAAAAAAAGACGGGATTACAAGTGAATGTAGAGAAGATGGAGGTAGAGGTGATGAAGATACTCAACCGACACCACCAACAACAACAAAAGGCTCTAGTCACCATCAATGGGAGAAACTCAAATGAAGTAGTCTCTTTCACCTACCTTCCGAGGCAGCACTGTTTCAACTACAGGTGCTGGCACAGAAGGGGACGTCAAATCCAGGGTCGAAAAGACAGCAAGACATGTGTTCATTAGCCTGAAACCAGTGTAGAGATCTGCACTCAGCATAAAGCATGAACAACATCCGGATTTTCAACACCAATATCAGTCAAGTCAGTGCTTCTATGTGATGGTTGAGAGACTTTGTGCGTTACGAAACGGGTTTCTAACAAACTACAGGCATTCATCAACAACTGCCCACGCTGGTTACTGAAGATCAGATGGCGAGAAAGAATAAGCAACAAGGAACACTGGCTGGTAATGAATCAACGGAAAACCTATCGCTCAATGAATACGCAGAAAGAAATGGAGATGGACTGGGCATACACTGAGAAGGCTGATTGAGGAAATCACGCTCTAGGCCAGGTTGTCAAGTGGAACCCAGATGGGAAGCGACGATTGGGCGTCCGATGTGAGGGTGACATGTAAGGTATCGTGAGAGGAAGAAATGAGAGCTTGTGAGCTGTCATGGAGCAAGGTTCAAAAGATTTCAGAGAAGACAGAGGAATGGTGACGTGCTACTGAAGCCGTATGTTCTATTAGGAACCCCAGGGACAAATGAATGGATGAATGAATGATGAACTGTCTTTGAAAAAGCACTACACGTCATCGATAAATCTCAACAATAATCTTATTCCCTTACTGTATATCTGGTGTTTCATTGA